CCCTCCCCACCCCCTTCCTTTTCCTTATCCCACCCTTGTCCTCTTAGTTTAAAAAAAAAAATGAGGCTTTCCATTTCTTACTTGATTCCTATAATTTCGCCTTTGCTTCTTTCTAATGTATTAGTTACTGTTTTGGCTTTTTCTTGGTAGGGAAAAATTTTGTCTTCTTATTCCAGTAGTATTTTGACCTATCGGGTTTAGATCTTGTGCTAATTTCAAGTTTATGTTTAGATTTTATTCCTTTTTCTGACAATTTTGTTTTACCTTCTTGATTTGTTACCTCTGTTGGGCGCTAACACAACTCACACCTTTACGATAATTACTGCTGCAACAGCTGCCATTACTTAACCCGTGGATGTTGATTGTTGATTGTTGGGCTTTGTTTGAGTGTAGTGAGTGTTTGGGTGGTTGTTTGTGTGCGTGTGTGTGTGTGTGTGTGTGTGTGTGTGTGTGTGTGTGTGTGTGTTTGAGAGAGAGAGTGTGTGTGTGTGTGTGTTAGAGAGAGAGAGAGTGTGTGTGTGTGTGTATGTGTGTGTGTGTGTTTGAGAGAGAGAGAGAGAGAGATTGTACAAGCCAAAAGTTTTCACCTTCAGTGATGTTGTTTTACGAAATGATAAAAAAATTAAATAGCATTCTTCCTGTATTTCTCTATAATTTCAACTACTAAATGCTCTCACTCTCTCTCTCTCTCTCTCTCTCTCTCTCTCTCTCTCTCTCTCTCTCTCTCTCTCTCTCTCTCTCTCCCTCTCCTCCCTCTCCCCCCTCTCACACTCTCACATATTAACACACACAAGCACCTCATGAACACCGACCCACTGACCACCCACTGATGGTTTTTTTCACTGACCCACCTTTGACCCACCACCCGCTATTGACCCACACATTGACCCGCACACTGACCCACACACTGACCCACACACTGAACCACACACTGAACCACACACTGACCCACACACTGAACCATACACTGACCCACCATTGACCCACACATTGAACCACACACTGACCCACACACTGACCCACACACTGACCCACACACTGATCAACACACTGACCCACCATTGATCCCCCATTGACCCATTGACCCACACACTGACCCACACACTGACCCACCATTGATCCCCCATTGACCCACTGATCACCCACACTTTGACCCACCTTTGACCCACACACTGACCCACCACTGACCCACCACCCATTCCTGGCTTCTCCACTGACCCACACATTGACCCACACACTGACCCACACATTGACCCACACCCTAACCCACACATTGACCCACCACCCACTCCTGGTCTCTCCAGCCTCACCCCAGCCAGCAGCGTCACCGAGCTCAGTGTCATGGAGGACCAGCCCAGGTAGGATTGGAACTTTCACCTTTCACCTTTCACTTACACCCACTCACCCACTCACCAACGCGCTTTTATCGACATTGTTTTGTTTTAAATCAGTTTATTTGTGCCCCCCCCCCCAAAAAAAACAAAAAAACAACCGCGTGTCCTGCACAGATAGATTTGCGTACCCCGCCCCCTCCTTTTTTTTTCCTTAATAAAATGTTGTGGGGTTTTTTTTTCTCTAATATCCCCCCCCCCCCCTTTTC